AAAAAAAAACAGGAAAATTCTTTCAGAGGAGAAAATGAAAGTTAGAAAAAGATGAGTAGTCTTCACCTCAATGTGTAATGTCAGCCAAGACTTAAAAACACTATAATCAAGGAAAAAGCCAGAAAAGCATCTCTTTCCTGAGAATGCTTAGAACAAAAGTCCTTCCTAAAGGGACAGTTCCTCAGGGAATGTACTAACTGGTTCACAGCCCTCTCAAGCTACAACTAGGGAGGGGACGCTGGTGCTCCATCACTGATCTTAGGAGCCAGAGGCTGGTGACTCTCACAATCTCTACAGCACTTTTAACAAGAAAAGCACAGGCTGGGCGTGGTGGTGGACACCTCAGAGGCAGAGGCAGGCCAGCTGGAGCAACACAGTAAAGACTCTGTCTTTAAAAAAAAAAAAAAAAAAAAAAAGAAATGAACAAGCTCTGTTTAAATGGGCACCCACCACTTAAAGCACCACATAAAAGGGTCGGCAACTCCATTTTCCCAAAGAAAGCCTTTCAACATGAAGAGCTCCATTATATGTAATTCTGAAAACCTAGGAAAATACAAGATTCCTCTAGTACAGTAAGGTTTCCAGGGCAGAAGCTTGGGTTTGTTTTTCAGCAATCCTGAAACCTGTGTAAAAACCTCCCCAACACTGGAATAGAGTTACTCAACAAAGAAAGAGTCAGCATCTGGGTCAAGAAGAACTCTGTTAAATCAGGAGCTGGAGAGATGGCTCAGTGGCACTTCCTGCTTTTGTAGTGGACTGGGGTTCGGTTCCCAGCACGAACTCAGAACTATCTGGAACTCCAGTTACAGAGGGCTGGATGCCCTCTTCTATGGGCACTGCCTGTATGTGGTGCATTATCCACAACAGGCCAAACACCCATACACTTAAATCCAAAATAAATCACTTTTTAAAAAATGTTAAATCAACAGTGTTGATTCTAAATCGGGAAAAACGTCGGCCTAAGAAACTGAAGTGGGCAGATCTAGATAAAGGTAAGTGTTGGGAGGAGGGGCAGTTCACAGAGGCAGCAGGATACAGCAAAAAGCAAGTTAAAAAAAAAAAAAGCCACAAGAGAAGGCACTTAGTTTAATGGAAGTGGGAAAGCATTCTGAAGAAAAATGCTCCAGGCAGGGAGGAGGGGAGGCAACTTAACCTTCAAAGGGGGGGGGGCGCTCAGCCCACGACACAGACAGATGAGAAAGTCCCTGAGAAATAGTTCCCAAACCTTTTTACTTTGTCATCCTGGACAGCTTGAACACTTCCATTTTCCTACGCTTGCATCAAGCCCAGGATGGCCTTTCATGGAAGAGGAGGTCATTCTCAAGCCTAACGAGCTTTCACCCAACCCATTCCAAAACTCGCGGGGGGGGGGTCTTCAAGGAAGAAGAAGATGAACCCCATCCAAGTCCCCACACATCCTAACTCACAGGAGGAGCTAACAGGCCAGTCCTCTCCCATTTCCCAACAACCGTTAACTTCCACTCCGACCCGCAGGCATCTTGAGTCCCGAGAACGCCTACCCAGGGGACATCTAGTTTCGGTCCAGTTCTTGGTTTCTGATGTTTTCCCCGCAAGTTCTTTCCCTTCTGTACCTCAAGAATATGCTTTAGGCTTGAGTACCCCTTTACAGGTCCCGGGGCGGCTTTAGTCTCAGACCCTAACCTCGGGGGCGGAGCCGGGGGGGGCTGCACACGGCGGGCAGGAAGGGGACCGCGATCTACGGGCCGCCCCCGGCCTCGGCTCGACTGGGCTCGACTGGACTCGGCTCCGCTCGGGACTGCCGCGTCTCCCGAGAGCCGCCGGGGAGGGGGAGCCTCGTGCTTGCAGCCGACTACCGCGCTCAAGACTCGGCCGCAGGGAGGACGCGCGGCCGCGGCCCCAGGTGCCCCGCTCCCGACCTCCGCAAGTTTCCGAAGAGGCCGAACGTCCTCCCGGGACTCTCCCGTGGTCCTCCCCGCAAGAGTCGCACAAGGACTTCCGGGAGGTTCCTCCCTCGGTCTCGCCTCTTCCCGTACCGCCCTGCTCCTCCCCTGGCCTCTTTAACGAGCCCTCGAGGTCCCGGAGAGAAAAAAACGAGCACTCACAGCTTCACTACATTCTCCACCACGGCCGCCATCTTCCCAGCTCCTCTCCCTCAGGCTGGGAGGCCCCCAAAGCCCGCACTGCGCAAGCGCCAAGTCAGCACAGGCCACCCGAGGCCTCGGCGCTCTGCGCAGGCGCAGCCGGGGGGGCGGGGCGGCGGCACGCACTGGCTCGCAAGAGCGAGTCCAGGAGAGCTCAGTGAGCAAGCGCGCCCGCAGAGCAATGCGCACCCCACTGCTTGGGTTCCGCCTCCGTCTTCCAGAGGAGCCTGGGAAGGGCCTGTGGCTGATGGGCTGGAAGAAGACTAACCCGGACTGGAGAGATGGCTCAGAGGTTAAGGGTACGGGCTGCTCTTGCAGAGGACCCGGGTTAGAGTCCCAGAACCCACATGGCGGATAACAACCGTCTGTAACTCTAGCTCCAGGGGACTGGACGCCTTCTGACTTCCATGGGCATTGCACGACAGGGGTGCACTTACAGCAGCATGCACATACACATATTATAATAATAATAACAAAAAGAAGGCTAATCATTAGCCTCATGATTGACTCTTTGCTAGGCTTACCCAGTCCACCTGTGTTCCCCAGAATATGCCCATTTCAGAGAACGAAAACTCAAACTCCCAGAACTAGGCTGTGCTGTTCCTTGGTCTGATGCTACAGTCTGACAACCAGACATTGCTGACAGTAAACCTAGTCCTTGAATGAACTTCACCTTGCTGCTGCTGGTGCTGCTACCAGTGTGACTATCCCTCCCTCACCTGTTGCAGCCCTTTCTCCTTCAGTCATGCAAAACCATGAGCAAACATGGTTCCTCTTAAAAGAACAATCAAAAGCAATGTCTTTTAAAATTATTTACTTTTATTTTATGTGTGAGTGTATTACCTGCATGTGTATGGTGTAAAGCTGGCAGAGGCCAGAAGAGGGCATGGGCTCCCCTGGAACTGGAGTTTTGGATGGTTGTTAGCCACTATGTAGGTGCTGGCAACCAAACCTGGGTCCTCTGCAAGAGCAGTCACTTCTTAACCCATGAGCCATCTCTCCAGCACCCCATCACTCCTTTTGAAATTGCTACCCCCAAAGTCAACACAACTTCTGTTTCAATAGATTAAAGATTTATTCTCTGTCCTCATTGGCCTGCTAACCCATATGACACGACTGACTGTTCCTTCCTGTCCTGCTGTGCTGTTTTCCTTCTCCACCCAACCTCTGTTAGAGTCTTCAGGGCTCGGCCCTTGTCATTTTTCTGACATACCGTATTTCTCTAATTCCAAGGTGCATGGATTCTCATCACTTTTATTTTAATATTTTAGAATCAGTACACATCTTTTTCTTTAACGTGCATAATTGTTTTGCCTGAATGCATGTATTTGCACTACACGCATACCTGATGCCCAAGGAGGCCAGAAGAGGCCATCACATTCGCTAGAACTGCAGTTACAGGCGGTTGTGATCTGCCATGTGGGTACTGGGAACTGAGCCCAGATCTTCTGCAAAAACAGTATGTACTCTTGACTCTCCAATCCCCTGAATACACATCATCACTGTGTCTAATTTAAAATCTTTTTTTAGCAGCTAAGAGTCAGGAGATATTTGCCTTTTCTGACTCTGCACCAACATCAAAACTTTCAGGGTGGGTTCCAGTAACCTGGAAGAAAACCTAGAGGTGATATTAATGTACATTTTAATCCCTGAGAATTGAATGATTGTGGGGACCAGCAGTGTCAGAGGTGATTTCAAAACAGTAAACAAGGGGCTGGAAAGATGGCTCAGTAGTTAAGGGCATTTGCTGCTCTTCTGGAGGATCTGGGTTCATTTCACCCACATAGTGGATAACACCTGTCCTTAACTCCAGTTCCAGAAGATCTGGTGTTTTCTGGTCTCCACCAGCACCAGGCATGCAGTGTGGTACACTTATGTACATGCAGGCAATTCACTTATTTTCTGTGTATGCATGTGTCATACGATGCCGGCAGAGGACAGAAGAGGGTATCAGATCCATGGAACTAAAGTTACAGATGGTTGTTAACCTGCATGTGGGTGCTGGGACTCAAATCTGGGTCTTCTGCAAGAACAGTCAGTGCTCTTAACCACTGAGCTATCTGTCCAGCCACAAAATCTTTAAAAAACAAAAACAAAACAAAACAAAAAAGACCAGGGTTTAAAAAAAAAAAAACAGTAAGCCAAAGTGTGTCAAGTCTAAAGCTGAATATACATTAGTTATTTGTCTCATTGGTATGACAAAATGCCTGAGAAAAGCAACTTATGGAACTCTTTACTTTGCCTCAGAGTTCAGGGCTTCTGAGAATATCTAGTGGGTAAAAACACCTGCCACCAAGCCTGATGACCTGAGTTAATTCCCAGGACCCACATGGAGAAAGGAGAGAACTGATTCCCAAAAGTTGTCCTCTGACCTCCTCACAAGAGCACACATACACAACACACATACACACACCCCTCAATAAATAAATAGCAACAAAAGCTCCAGGGCATAGTCCAGTCATGGTGGGAGCTCCCAGTCGCTGGTTACCTTGGTCTGGGATCCTAGCCCATGGAAGGGTACCCAAATTTAGGGTGAGTCTTCCCACCTCCATTAACCTAATCTAGATAATCCTTCACTGACTTGCCCAGAGGCTTGTCACAAACAGAAACTAGATAACAAATTTTAAATGTGGCCAGATGTGGTGGCATAGGACTTTAATCCCAGCACTCAGGAGGCAAAGGCAGGCAGATCTCTGTGAGTTCAAGGCCAGCCTGGTCTATATAGTGAGTTCCAGGTCATCTTGGGGCTACAGGGAGACCCTGTCTCAAAAAAAGACCAAAAAAAAAAAAAAGATGTTCAGCCAGGTGTGGTGGCTTAGGCCTTTAATCCCAGCACTCGGAAGGCAGAGGCAGGCAGATCTCTGTGAGTTCAAGGCCAGCCTGGTCTACATAGTGAGTTCCAGGAAAGCTAGGGCTACAGGGAGACCCTGTAATCCCTATATACTGATGAGCTGGGCATGGTGGTGCATGCCTTTAATCCCAGCACTCGGGAGGCAAAGGCAGGTGGATCTCTGTGAGTTCAAGGCCAGCCTGGTCTACATAGTGAGTTCCAGGACAGCTGGGGCTTCAGGGAGACCCTGTCTCAAAAAGAGAAAAATAATAATAATAAAAAAAATGTTCGCAACCTCATTATTTGTAACGTACCTAAGGAGCAGGAAATCAATGTCCTTAGCATGCACAAGACCCTGGCTTTGATTCCCAGCACCAAAACCGAAAAAGCAAATGTGAACATAATTTACATATAACATGAATGAATCTCAAGAACTTACCATTGAATGAAAGAAGCCAGATTTAAAAAGACAATGCATATGAGTTCATTTATGTAAAGTTACACAAACAGATACATCTATGGGGCTAGAAGGCAGGAAAGGAGGCCTGGAGTGTCCACTGTGGAATAAGTAATGTTCTTTTTTTTAAAATCAGGGTCAGTATTACATGTTTGTTCTATTGGTAAATATTAACCAAACTACACATTATTTGTGTATTTCTCTGAATGGATATTTCTTTTGTTTTGGTTTTGGCTTTTTGAGACAGAGTCTCACTCTTTTTTTTTTTTTTTTTTTTTTTTTTTTTTTTGGGACAGGGTCTCCTTGTAGCCCCAGCTGTCCTGGAACTCACTATGTAGACCAGGCTGGCCTCGAACTCACAAAGATCCGCCTACCTCAGCCTCCTGAATGCTAGGATTATAGGCACGAACCACCACGCCTGGCTTGTATTTTATTTCAATAAGAAGCCTGAGGACCAGTGAGATGGCTCAGCAAGCAAAAATGCTTGCCACAAAAGCCTGACAAACTGAGTTCAGTCTCTGGAATCCACATAAAGGTAAAAGAAGAGAATCAACTCCATAAAGCTGTCCTCTGACCTCCACATGCTTGCCATGTCATGTGCATACCCTTACACATACTTCATGCACACATACATGAACACAATAACAATACAGAAAAATTATCGGGGCTGGAGAGATGGCTCAGAAGTTAAGAACACTGGCTGTTTTTGCAGAAGACCCAGATTTGAATCCCAGCACCCACATGGCAGCTAGCAACTGTCCACAGGGGATCCGACAACCTCTTCTAACCTCTTCCAACCTCTGTGACGTTGCACGACGTGGGTGCACTCACATACATGCAAGCAATACACACATACACATAAAATAAAAATAAAATATTTTTTAAAAATTATCAGAAAAAAGAATTTAAAATGTTAGTTGGATATGGTATTAAATGCTAATAATCCCAGCATTTAGGAGGCTGAGACAGAGGATTGTGGAAAGTTCTAGGCCAGCCTGATCTACATTGACAGCTCCAGGCTAGTCAGGGCTACATAATAGAGGTCCTGACTCAAATAAATAAATAAATAAATACATACTGGTAATAATAAGCTAATTCTATATAATTGGAAAGATAACTTATGAACCACGTCCTTGAGCAGCCGGTGCTCTTAACTGCTGAGCCAGCTTTCCAGCTCCACTTTCCACACTCTTTTTTTTTTTTTTTTTTTTTTTTGAGACAGGGTCTCCCTGTAGCCCCAGCCGGCCTGGAATTCACTATGTAGACCAGGCTGGCCTTGAACTCACAGAGATCCACATGCCTCTGCCTCCCGAGTGCTGGGATTAAAAGCATGTGCCACCACGCCCGGCTCTATTTTACACACACCTAACCAGCACCAGCATGTAGAATGTTTATCTTAAAGACAGGACCCGAGGAGTCCAAGTTTGGGGCTGCCTCTTCTAATCTCTTTTGAGAATGTTTGGGCTCCAGCAATTTAGGCCCATTTGGACCTAAGAGAGGAATGTTCTCACCAGGGGGCGCAATAACTATTTCTGTAAATCCTGAGCTGAGATTGTCCCTGGGTCATCTTGTGCTCCAATATGCCACTGGGTAAGAAAATAAAAAGGGTCTCATAGGTGGAGCAGAAAGACTCTGTGACTCAGAGGCCTGGCAGAAACACAGATGAGACCTAGTGAGTGCCCTGAGATAGCCCTTCTTAATTTTACATTTCAGGTTATTGGGGGGGGGGCAGTGTCCTGGTCCTGGGGCTGGAGAGATGGCTCAGTGGTTAAGAGCACTGACTGCTCTTGCAGAGGACCCGGGTTTGAT